CATTTATTATGCAAAGAGATAATTATCTTTCTTTCTATTTAAATTTTTATTCTTGTATTGAAAAATTGAATCATTATAAAATTCCTTCCACTTTTTAAATTTTTATTTTATTTTAAGATTTTAATTTTTATTTTTATTACATTATATTTTATATTATATTAGAATTTCAATCTTTATCATTATATTTATAAATTTATATTCCATGTTTTGTTGCAGATATTTTTCAACTTTTATGATGATTTTCCATGGTCCATATTGATGGCAATGCAGATTCTTCGCATCTATTGGTGAGTTGCATGCATTTTTGTTCCTATGGTCACTCAATCATGTCGTAGGATGAAAAGTCCGAATCGACACGGGTGCCTGGTTATATATTTAGATTTTTGCACGAGCACAGTGACCGCGGGTATTATTTATACCCGTGAGTAGTAATATATCTATTTTATTTATTTTATTTATTAGATCAGGATAGGTCTTCTTGTATATCGAATTGTTAAAAAATAATATTGATAGTTAATTTTCTATTAAGATAATATTGTGAATGATATTAATAATTAATTTGAATGTTTGTTTGGTACAATAATTTGTAAAATCAAACTATATTTAACATATGAATATTTGTAAAGTCAAATGAATATACATTTATGAATAAAAAATAAATATTAATTAAATATTATATAGTGAAGAAATCGGATATCCTCCGATTTCGTTATTAAAAAATTTTAATTATTATATAATAATCAAAATAATAATTTTTTTAATGTATGGAACAATCCACATTATGGAACAAACAATTTAATTTTTTATTATGTGCTTAAATATAATTTGAAATATAGATAGAATATTTTATTTTTTCCATATAAAAATGTATGAAATTTTATATACAAGGAGACATTTCGCGACAGGCAGATTTCGGAATCAAAGCAATACGTTTTGGACTTCTTGAAAATTTACTTTGATGAAGAAATCACCTGAGGTTGATATTTCATATAGAGTCAATTATTTTTAATTATTAGCTGTTAAAAATAAGTTTCTCATTAATTCTTATAATAAATTCCTCATTCGTAGCCTATATATATTTTTCCTTCTTCAATATTAGAAATTAATTATGAAATAAATTTGCTAAAGTCAAAATAGAGTAAAATGTTAAATCAAAAAAACTTAGCCCGTTAGAAAATGATATTAATACTTATTTTAGCTTAGGATTTTCAGATTTAATCCTTTCCATGTCCATTTCCAGGATCTCATTCACATGCTCAGATGCTATTTGAATGAGAAAGAGGCAATGGGCATGATGATCATAGTTCATAAGTTTATAACAATTTTTCAGCGACTGACGATTGCATTAATGTATCGTGCACGACGTATTTTTCACATAGTGTGTGTATGTGTGTGTGGTTAGGTTGTGGAATTGCGTCGTTTCGATTATATGTTTATTCACACAATTTACAATA